CTGGGTTTGAACCGGCCACCTCCAGCATATGGGGCCGGCGCCCTACTCCTTTGAGCCACAGGCGCCACCCTAAGCCATTCATATTAATTGAGAATATTGATAAGCTTGGTAGAATTTTGGGTATCTAGTTTTTTGAAAGTCCAGTGGACATTTTTAATCCTTTTGCCACTGTGGAAGTTAGAATTTTTGATCAAAAGTTTCTGAGTGATTTTACTTTTGTGGTGGAGGATTGCGCTGGCCATTATGGAGGATAGGTCTGAGAATTATGGAGGATAGGTCTGAGAATATCCTGGAGAGCTGATTTGGTTATGGCCAATTTCTTCAACATGTGAATGTCATTAAAGTATTTCATTTCTCCATCATAAATGAAACTCAGTTTAGCTGAGGATCCTGGGTTTAAAGTTATTTTGTTTTAAGAGATTAAAAGTCAATGACCACCCTCTTCTAGCTTGAAAGGTTTCAGCAGAGAGATCTTCAGTCATTCTAATATTCTTCCTCTTGTAGGTTATGATTTTCTTATGTCTGGACACTTTCAGAATTTTCTCCTTCATATTAACTTTAGTGGAGTTAATTATGATGTGTCTGGGGGTTGTCTTATTCGGGTTGAGTTGTGCTAGGGTTCTGAAACTGTCTGCTGTCTGCATTTCAGAATCTCTTGGCATTTCTGGAAAGTTCTCCTTCATACTCTCATGAAAAAGGGCCTCTGTGTTTTGTGAAGCCATTTCATTGCCTTCAGGAATTCCTATAAGGCAAATATTAGTTTTCTTTGAATTATCCCAAAGCTCTCTGAGAGATTCTGTGTGGTTTTATTGTGAACATTTATTTGCATTTTTTCTAATTATGACCAAATACACATTACATAAAATTGACCATCTTAACCATTTTCAAGTGCACAGTTCAGAGGCATTACACACACACTGTTGCACAACCATCACCACCCTCTATCTTCAGAACTTTCTCATCTTCTCAAACTGAAACTGCCCCCATGAACATTAACTCCCACCCCCTCCCCAGCCGCTGGCGTCCACCCTCCTACTTTCTGTCTCTGTGAATCTGATGACACTAGGGACCTATGAATGGAATCTCACACTGGGTATCCTTCTGTGTCTGGCTTCACTCACTGAGCACCAATGTCCTCAAGGCCCATACACATTGTAGCTGTATCAGAACCTCTTTCCTCTTCATGGTTGAATGGAAGGACACTTGTTGGACATGGACATACCTGTTGCTTTGGGCACTTAGGAGATATTGCAAACTAGAGGCTCTCAGCTAGGCTCAGTGAATGGAGTGCTGGGATCAGCTGGTGATGTCTGCCCTGGGCAGGTGTCCAGAAGCCCCACTGAGCCTTCCTGGGGCTGCACCCCTTCCTCATGCCACACGACCTACACTGGCCAATCAGGGGGCTCCATCCCCCTTTCTGGTTAGGGGTGGAAGAGGTCCTGATCCCAGCTGGCTCCCCAAAAACCATGGCTCAGATTGCTTGAACTTTTCCCTTTCTACCAGACTTGGAGCTGGAAGGAAGTCAATCTAGGCATGCTCCCAAGAAGAGAGAAGCCCATTTGAGAATGAGGGCCATACAGGTAAAGCTTGGGGGTATACTGGCTTCCTCTTGCTGCTTAAACAAATTATTACATATTTGGTGATCTCAACTTACTCTCTCACAGTCCTGGGGGTCAAGAGTCTGACAAAGGCCTCACAGGGCTAACATCAGGGTGTGGTTTGTCTGGGAGATCTGGGGAGGACCCATGTCCCACCTTTTCTAGCATTGAGAAGCTGCCCAAATCCCTCAGCTCAGGGTCCCTTTTTCCCCCTTCAGGGTCAGCAGTGCAGCATTTTCTAGTCTCTGACCCTGACCATTCTGCCTCTTCATATGAAGACCTTGTGATGACACTGGGGCTCCTGGGTAATCTAGGATGACTTTCCATCTGCAGAGTTCCTTCTGCCAATAAGGTAACATGTTCACACATATTCTGGGAGTAGAGTATGAACATCTTTGAGGGGCTGTTATTCTGGCACCCATTGTTGTGGGGAGACAGAGTCTGGACAGATCCAGTGATTGGATCCAGCTGTGCCTGAAAGCCCTGCCTTATAAGTCATGAAAGCCAATACAATTCCATTTTGCTTGAGTCAGTTTGAGTTGTGCCCTCTGTCACTTGCAGTTGGAAGGGGCCAACATAAATTACAAAAGGTTGGAAAAATTGATCACAAAAGGTGGGTGATCTTACCTGCTGTATGCTAGGTACCCTGGAGAAAACCACCACCCAGTCACTGGTGGACACACAACCTGCAATCACACTGTGAAGTTTTTTTTTTTTTTGAGACAGAGCCTCAAGCTATCCCCCTGGGTAGAGTGCCGTGGCTTCACAGAGCACAGCAACCTCCAACTCCTGGGCTCAAGCCAGTCTCCTGCCTCAGCCTCCCAAGTAGCTGGGACCACAGGTGCCCACCACAACGCCCGGTCATTTTTGGGTTGCAGCCGTCATTGTTGTTTGGCAGGTCTGGGCTGGATTCGAACCCGACACCTTAGGTGTATGTGGGTGGCGCCTTAGCCACTTGAGCCACAGGCACCGAACCCACACTGTGAAGTTTTACCCAGCAGGGTTATGTGATGAATTAAGTAAAACTAAATGTTCATGTGTTTTATTTTATTCAATCCTAACAACTTCAAGAGGCAGTTCCATTAGATCAGAGTGGCCAGGTTTTTTAACTACAAACAGGAGGTGCTCAGTTAGATTTAAATTTCAGATAGGCTATTGTTTCTGTATGTACCCAAAACATGGTGAGAGATATATGTACAGTAAAAATTATTTGTTGTATATCTGAAATTAAACCCCTAGTGCCCAGCCCTCAGAATTACCCCCACTTTGCAGCTTGGAGCACTGAGTGGTGGCCACTGGCCCACAGTTAGGAAGTTGCAGGGGTCCAGCTGGCTGTCTGGCTCCAGATAGTGGCATCAGACCTGTCCCAAAGGTCCTTTGGGAGTCGTGTGGGGGGTGGTCTGAAGAGTGGGGGAGGCCAGAGGGGTGGTTTCACAGGCACCACTCAAGGGGTGGGGCCTGTGTCCCTGCCCCTTTAATATGGGCGGCAATGGTATGGACTAGAGGCTGGACAGAAATGGCCTAGCTCCTGGGCCTCTCAGCTTGGAGTCTGACTGGTCCATGCTGCCAGAAGCCTAGTCAACACATGGAGGCCACATCTGAGTGTTATGGCGAGTGAGGCCAGCCTGGGAGGGGCCCAGCTCAGGAGCCCAATGCCTTCTATGACTTCAGCCTCACAGGGTCTGAGTCACCCCAGTGGAGCAGAGACAAGCCCCCCACCATGCCTGACTAGTTCTGACCAGCAGGAGCCTATGACCCTAGGTAAGTGTGGGAACAGGGAAAAGTGGCCCAAGAGAGAGCAGGTGGGGCCAGACCAGGAAGGAGCTGAGGCAGGGAAGGATAGGTTGGCAAACTTTTGTAAAGGGCCAAATACCAAAGCAGCGGCTCAGTTCTGCCCTTAGGATGATACATAAAGCAGTGTGTGTGGCTGTGCTGATGTAACTTCACAACATGAGATCTGCTACTGGGTCACTGCTTTGGTTGACTGAGGGAGCTGCACCTGCTGAGGAGCTCCCCATGCAGCTCACAGAGGCTATGAGGGTAGGGCTGGGTGGCTGGGGAGCTCCACATTCAGAAGGATGCACAGTAGCTGGCAATGGGGCAGGAGGTGGTGGAATGCATGCTACTATCCAGGCTAGACCTTCTAGGCTGAGGCCAAGGTCGAGGCAGCCCTCTGGGTGTAAGCAAAGTCAGGAATTACGGTGGTTGGGGGTATAATCTTCTAAGCTTTTGGGGGGGGGGTACAGAGTCTCAAGCTGTCATCCTGGGTAGAGTGAGGTGGTTGTCATAGCTCACAGCAACTTCAAACTCTTAGGGTTAAGCAATTCTCTTGCCTCAGCCTCCCAAGTAGTGGGGACTACAGGAACCTGCCATAATTTTTTTTTTTTTTTTGGAGACATCATCACCAGTAATTGCAGCCTTATCCTCCTGGGTTCAAGTGACTCCTGTTAGTCTCCTGAGTAGCTGGGATTATAGGCTCACACCACTGTACCAGCTACTTTTTCTATTTTTAGTAGAGACAGGGTCTTGTTCTTTCTCAGGCTGGTCTTGAACTCCTGAGCTCAAGCTGTTCTCCCACCTCAGCCTCCCAGAGTGCTAGGATTATAGGCACGAGCCACTGTGCACAGCCCATAATCTTCCAAGTTTTCTCTTTTTTTCCCCCTCAAGATGGGGTCTGGTTCTTGCTCAGGCTGGTCTCAAACTCCTGAGCTTAAGCAATCCAGCCACTTTGGTGTCCCAGAGTGTTAGGATTATAGGTGTGAGGCACTGTACCCAGCCAATCTTGAAGTTTTAAACGTAGGCAATTCATTTGTTAAATAACTGGTGGCCAGATGGCAATGCTGCATCCACTGTAGTGTAGCCAAGGCTTGGCACAGAGGGCATGCAGCTCTATCAGCACTGGTCCCACCAGGGGGCTCTGTCTGGATCCTGCCTCCATCGAATGTGCCCATGGCCTTCTGGCTAGAGAGACTGGCTGGGTCGAGGGCAACTGGAGGCCTCCAAGGCAGACACAGAAGCCCAGAGGTGGGAGAGCCCAATGCTGGAAGGAAATCTGGTTCTGTGGGTACCATTTGATCCAAGTTCAGCTGTTCCTGGAATTTCCAGTTGCACCCAAGGGCTACAGTGATCCCTACCCCAGATTTGGCAGGCAGCACATGCAACTGTTTACCTGAGAGCCCTAGCCAGGGCTCATTTTCACCTCTGGGGAATTCTGGGCCATAAGAATCAGTCTACAGGCCAGTGGAGATCTGGGATACATGCAAAGTAAACCAGCCTCTTTCTGCTCAGACCCCACAGATCTGCTGAGGATGTGCCCCCCACGGACATTTGGGGGGCCAGCAACACTCGGTCAAACAAGTGGACTTCCTGGCTGCTCTCCCTCCCAAGGAGAGGTGCTCTGTCTTCTCATAAAGCAGTTTTATTTGGATTTCAAACAAACCAAAGCAGAGAGAAGAGGTGGCCATAGCTAATCCGTCCACTTACAAGCTGGGAAACACACCAAGTCTCTGGCTCCAGGCCATGGAGCTGCCCAGCCTTCAGGCCCTCAGGCCTCCACATCTGGAACAGCAGGGAGCTGGCCCCTACACATTCCCATCTGTAGCTTCATGTGGCTCCTCTGGGCTGTGGCCAGTCCCCAAAGTCAAGGCATCCGAGCAGCAGTCAGGGCCATGCTGCCTTCTCAAGGGGGAGATGGCAGCCACAGCCTGTCCTGGGCCCTGGGTCCCCGAGCAGTGTGGACAGTGGAGCAGCCCCTCTTATCTGAAGCAGAGGAAAACCCAGAACAAATACAGGAAAGGAAAAAAAGAGACCTAAAATAAACAATTAAAGGGTATGGGGAACCAACACAAAACCTCCCATGAGGTAGAGTCCGCCACCTAAGAAGCCCATTCGGTCCAGTCCTAGTGAGGTAAAACTCTGTTAAGTTTATTTTGGCGGGGCATGCGCTGTCAGGACCCCTCGTTGCCAGAGTCGTCTTCATCGTCCCCAAAGCAGCTGTCAGCTTCCTCCCCGTCTCCATCCTCGCAGTAGTAGTCGTATAAGAGGTCCGAGCCCTCGTCAGGCGCAGGTGCCTTGGTCTTCACGCAGTACTCGGCCAGGGTGGTGGGCACCTTCACACCATCACGCTCTGCATCCACCTTGGTCCCCAGGACCTGCTTCCTGGGGGGGGGATAAGGCAGGTGAGAGTGTTGCTCACACCAGGCCTGCTCTGCCCCCAATGATGCCACATACCCAATGTTCAGGGCCCTCTCAACGTGGTAACCAGTGGCCACCCAGCAAAGGTGGCCACCCAGAAAGAAATGCCAGAGAAGAGGAGAACCAAGCAGAGGCAAGAGGGCCAGGTGGGAACAGCAGGTGAGCCCAGCATGACATTGCAGGTAGGGCCGGAAAAGAATAAGCCAAACCTGCCCCTGCCCAACATGTAACACAAGACACAGAACTCAGCAATGTGCACCAAGGGTGCCACACACAGGCTTCGTGAACTTTGAAGCAAGGAAAGGAAGTCCAGAGTTGGAGCGGGAAGGGAAGGCAGGATCAGCCAAGGGAGAGGGAGGGAGAGAACCAAAGCAGAGGGAGAGAACCAAAGCAGAGAAGGCCATAGCTGCTACACACTAAGTAGGATTTTAAAGTCTACTAGTAAGATTGGTTTGGCATGGTAGCTCATGCCTGCAATCCTAGTGCTCTGGGAGGCCAAGGTGAGAGGATCTCTTGAGGTCAGGAGTTTAAGACCAGCTTAAAATAAGACCCTGTCTCTACCAAATATAGAAAAATCAGCCAGGCATGTAGCACATGCCTGTAATCCCAGCTACTCAGGAGGCTGAGGTAGGAGGATCACTTGAACCCATGAGTTTGAGGTTGCTATGACCTAGGCTAAGGCCATGGCACTCTAGCCTAGGGACACAGCAAGACTAGGAACTGTCCCCAACTCTACCTGTGGATGTGTCAGGAATGTACTAGCACACACGGTGAGGCTGCAGGACTGTGGCCTACCAGGGACATATGCACCATACCAAGTCAAATTGCTGCTGCCAGCTAGGCACAACATACCTGCCTTGGCAGAAACAAGAACAAGGCCACAGCCTCAAGGATGACCAGAGGCTTGGCTCCCAGATGGGAGTCTCCCTGGTGTGCAGATCCACTTGGCATGCACAGGAAGGTATGGGGGAGGGGATGGGCAGACAGACACTGATCCCAGCAGCTTCTTATGAGGAATCAAGTGAGCGTACCCAGCAACAGGCCATCCATGAGAAGAGCTGCCTCCAGCCTCTGGGGCATTCCTGGACTTAACCATGGCAATGAAGCAATGCCATGGAGCATGTGCATGAGCCAATTCTTCTGGACTTTCCTAGGCGCTCTACCCCTAGCACGAGTGACTTCTTATCACTGTAGCAGTGCTGTTCAACAATCTCGGGATCCCTAACCCAGCCGGGCCCTGACAGAACTGAGTGAGACACTTGGGCTGCCACAAGGCTACAACATGCATACTTACAGATTCAAAAACAGGCAGAAAGCAAGAACCCAGCCTTCCTTGGGACATGTGAGCTGGCCTACAGGGAGTTTTAAGGGATAAAAATAGTCTGGCTCAAAATAGAGCTACCATATGACCCAGCAATCACACTGCATGGGTGTATGTCCCAAAGAAAGAAGATCAGTATATTGAAAAGATAACTGCATATATGTTCACTGCAGTAATATTCACAAAAGCCAAGACTGGAATTAACCTAAGTGTCTATCAATGGAATGTACATACACAATGGAGTATTATATAGCCACAAAAAGAACAAAAATCCTATCATTTGCTACAACACAGACAGAACTGGAGAATATTATGTTAAGTGAAATAGCCAAGCACAGAAAAGCAAATTTTGCATGTTTTATATATGGGAGCTAAATATTAAAAACAATTGATCTTGCTACTTGGGAAGCTGAGGCAAGAGAATTGCTTAAGCCCAAGAGTTTGAGGTTGCTGTGACTTGTGATGCCACTTCACTCTACCAGGGGCAACACAGTGAAAATCTGTCTCAAAAAACAAAAACAGAAACAAAGAAACAAAAAAACCCAACTGATCTCATGGAGACATGAGAACAGAATGACAATTTCCAGAGGATGAGAAGGTAGTTGGGGGAGGGGGGGATAAATGGGGATGGTTAATGAGTGCAAAAATATAGTTAGAGGCCAGGCATGGTGGCTCATGCCTGTAATCCAAGCACTCTGGGAGGCCAAGGCAGGTGGACTGCCTGAGCTCATGAGTTCAAGACCAGCCTGAGTCAGAGTGAGACCTCATCTCCTTTTTTTTTTTTTTTT